AGTGGACTGAATGCATGGGGGATTGAGTATGACGGAGGTGAATGGGAGTTGGTGGTAACTGGAGGTGGGGATGGGTGGTTGAGTGGGAGGACTTTGAGGTAGACTGATGGCGGTGGAAGAATGGAAGGACCAATGGGTACATGGATTGGGAGTGAGCTGATGGGCACTGGAAGGTTCGTATGTGTGGACCGACATTGCAGATGGACAGAGTGGATGGGTGTTTTGAGAATGGTTGGTTTGATAGAGAAAGGATGGATAGAGAATTGGGGTTAGTTGTGTGGGTGGACAGCATGGTTGAGTGGGTCAGTGGATGAGTATTTTGAGTGGTTGGTGCACATGGTTTGGGAAGGTCAGTGGGGTGGGTGAGTGGGTGGATAGATCAATGGGCTGAGTATATAGGTGAGTAGGTGGGTGTGGACTGTGGGTAGGGTGGATGATGGACCGGTGGGTAGGTAGTTGTGTAAGGGGTATGGGTGTGTAGATGAACTGATAGATGGACAGAGGCTTGCATGACATGGGTGGGATGGATGAATGGATTGGATGGAGGACTAAATGGTGGGTAGGTAGTTGTGTAAGGGGTATGGGTGTGTAGATGAACTGATAGATGGACAGAGGCTGGCATGACATGGGTGGGATGGATGAATGGATTGGATGGAGGACTAAATGGATGCATGAGTTGATGATGTTTTGGGCAGGATGGATGGATGGACGGACAGATACCTGAGTGGTGCTTCAGGTGGGATGCATGGAATTTTGGGATAGGTTGCGTAATTTGCAGGAATGGATGGATGGCAGGTGCAGACACCCTCTCTACCCACCCCCACCCCAGCCTCAGCTTTCTCTCCCTCCCTCCCTCCCCACAGGTGCCCCAGACCCTACAGCAGGTGCAGGCATCGAGGATGCCAACTGCTGGCACCTGGACGAGGAGCAGATCCAGGAGCAGGTGAAGCAGCTGCTGTCCAACGGCGGCTACTACGGGGCCAGCCAGCAGCTGCGCTCCATGTTCAGCAAGGTGCTGCATGGGCTCGGTGGGGCCCAGGGAATCAGAAGGCCCTGGTGCTGGCGCCCCCCCATTTCCTCACCACCCTGTCCCTGGTGCAGGTGCGGGAGATGCTGCGGATGCGGGACTCCAACGGGGCACGCATGCTGATCCTCATGACCGAGCAGTTCCTGCAGGACCCGCGGCTGGCACTGTGGCGGCAGCAGGGTGCAGGCATGACGGACAAGTGTCGGCAGCTATGGGATGAGCTGGGTGAGGCCCAGACTCCAGGGCACGCTGGACACTGGTGCTCCAGCTCCGAGGTCTTCCTTGCTCTGAGATTAGGGTCTGTCCCCGTAATCCACTCTCCATTCATTTGACAAACATTTACCGAGCACCTCCACTGTGCCAGGCACTGTACTGGGCGCTGGAGCTCCAGCAGAGAACAAGATCCACAAAAATCTGCCCTAACGGAGCTACCACCTGGAGGGGGAGACAGACAATAAAATATCACTAGACCATTAGATCAGGGGTCAACACACATTTTCTATAAGGGCCACATCGTCAATATTTTCAGCTTTGCAGGCCATTTGGTCTCTGTTGCTGCTACTCAGCTCTACCCTTTGTAGCAGGAAAGCAGCCTCAGACATATGTAACTGAGTGGGAGTGGTGGCATTCCAATAAAATTCTATTTATGGACACTATTTATTGATTTGAATTTCATATCAGTTCCATGAGTTGAAAAATATTTTTCTTTTGGTTGCCTCCCCCGCCACCATCTAAAAATGTAAAAATAAATCTTAGTTTGCAGGCCATTCAAAAACACATGGTAAGGGCTGGCCGGTTAGCTCAGCTGGCTAGAGCACAGTGTTATAATGCCAAGATCAAGGGTTCAGATCCCCGAATCGACCAGCTGCCAAAAAAAAAAAACACATGGTGGTGGGTTCAGTTTTCTTCCTGGGCAGTAGTTTCCTGACCCCTATGTTCGATAGTGATAAATGCTATAGAAAGGAAAAAATACTGAGAGGATCCTGATGGCATGGGCTTGAATCCTGACTTCCATCTTACCAGCTGAGTGACCTTGAGCAAGTGGTGTTACCTCTCTGTGCCTCCATTCTCTTACCTGTAAATTGAACAGACTATTAGTTGCAACCTCAGAGGGTTGAGGTGAGGATTAAGTAGAACAGTACCTGGCACACACTAAGCACTGCATGAATGCTGAACCTCCCCTTTGCCTCCTCAGGAGCCCTGTGGGTCTGTGTCGTACTGAGCCCTCACTGCAAACCAGAGGAGCAGGCAGCCTGGCTCCAGCTGCTTGGCAAGTGGGACAAGTTGGACGTGTGCCCACTGGAAGAGGGCAAGTACTCCTTTGATGGCCCCAGCCTGCAGCCCACCTCAGCCCCCAGCCCAGGTACGAGAGGGGTCCCTGCCATGCCCCCCAAAACCATCACCACTAACAGTGACCCAGCCTCCCACTGTGGCACTCTATCCCAGGAGAGAGACAGCATGGGGGAGAGCAAAGGGGGCCCCAGCCTTTGGCTGTCCTCCCAGCAAGGCAGGAGCAAGTGCTGAGGGCAGGAGCAGTGGCAGCCCGAGGGGCAGTGAGGCAAAAGGCTTAAGCCACCTGCAGTTCTGGGCTGGTCTCCCTGCCTGGCCTCCTACCAGATATGGAGGCAAAGAGGGTGGGAGAGGGAGAAGACAGATGGAGTCAAACAGGGGATGGAGGAAACAAAGTAAGATACTGAGAAGATAAAGAGGTTATAACACCAAGGTCAAGGGTTCGTGTCCCCATGCTGGCCAGCCGCCAAAAAAAAAAAAGAAAGACAGATGAAGAGAGGCAGAGATGATGGGGAAAGGGATCGAGAGAGAGGCAGACAGAAGAGTAGACGGCAGGGAAGAGAGAGAGGGAGAGATCGAGGAGAAGGGAGAGAGAGAGGGTGAGCAGGGAGAGAAAGACAGTTACTCAGCCTCAGGTTTCCACCTGTATGATGGGGCCATAATAGCGCCCCCTGACACACACTCTCACACACACACACATCTTTGAAGAGCTGCTTCCAGGCTTGGGAAGATGACTTATACCCATCCCTCTGCCCAGGGCCTAACCCCAAGTCAGCACTTGGTGGGGGAATCTGGCCACAGTTCGACTGCTAGTGCCCCCCTCACTGGGCCGTATTGGCACCTCTCCTGCAGGCCCAGAGGAGGAGGAGGAAGAGGAGGAAGTGGCAACCACAAGTTCCCGCCACACAGTGTTTGGCCGCGCCCTACAAGCTGGAGAGTTGCACTGGAGTGACACCCACCTGCAGAGGATCCTGACCAGTGACTCCTATAGCCCCAGCCTCACAGGCAACATGGGTGGTGACAAGCCAACCTTTGACCCCCAGGGCCGCCCACTCTGGCTGGGTGAGCCTTTTCCCACTGCCTGCGCCCGTGTGGACACCCTGCGTGCCCATGGATACCCCCGCCAGGCCCTGCGCCTGGCAGGTGCCATAGTCAACACGCTCCGGCTACAGCGGCGGCACCAGCTTGAGAGCTACAAACAGCAGAAAAAAGGTGAGCAGTAATGGTGTCATCATGTCCCAAGGGCTGCAGACACAAATGCAACTGCTTGGGGTCCCACCAGGAAAACAGAACCACTCTAGGTATCTTGAGCAGAAAGGAATTTAATACAGGGGATTGAGGGTTCATGAAACCATTGGAAGGGCTGCAAGATGGAAGCAGCTGTTTGGGTTCGTGAACTCTAAAGCGTAGGGATCAGGCCGGCCCGTGGCTCACTCGGTAGAGTGCGGTGCTGATAACACCAAGGCCACGGGTTCGGATCCTATATAGGGATGGCCGGTTTGCTCACTGGCTGAGCGTGGTGCTGACAACACCAAGCCAAGGGTTGAGATCCCCTTACTGGTCATCTTTTTAAAAAAAAAAAGATAAAGCGTAGGGATCACAGCAAACTGCTATGCCCCTAGGGGGCAGTTCCCAAGAAGACACCCAGAACCTGCCGGCAGAACCTTATGTCTGCACCCTGCAGGAGGCCGCACACCTGCTCATGGCTGCTATAGTAAAATAATGGCTTCATTCTCTCTGCTCTTCAGCATCTTGTGCAAAGGAATCTGGGAAATGTAGTTTCTAAGCTTCCAGACCCTGTGGTAGAGGCAGGTGCCAGCCCCAAGCCTTTCAGGGACATGGACCTAGGGTGGCCAGATCTTCTGATTTTTCAAGAGAGGCCAGAAACCTGGATTATTTGATGTGGAATTTACTGATTTTCAAACATAGACAACAAATTCAAATTTGTATTAAAAAACACACTGAGCAAAAAGAAAAACATTTGTGGACAGGGGACAGGAAGGAAGCCACCAGTTGAGTTTTCTGGGTAATGGGGTTGATGGGTCAATTATCAGGAAATTGAACAGAGTGTAATGGGGGAAGGATGGGGACTCTGGTACCCTGGCAGAGCCCTGACTCAGACTAGAGGTATCAAAGAAAGCCCCCTAGAGGAGGTGAGTGCTAAGTTGAGATCTTAACACCCTTAAGATGTTACCAGGTGTTACCCAGGAGGGTCTGGCTGGTTAGAGCACAGTGCTGATAACACAAAGGTTCGGGGTTTGATCCCGTACCGGCCAACCATAAAAAAAGCCAAAAAAAAATTCCCAGGCAAAGTGAAGAGGAAGAGTATGCCAGGTAAAAGAACAGCATGTGCGGGAGCCTAGAGGCAAGAGTGTGCACAGTTTGGAGGAGGAGGCTGGAGGATGGGTTTACAGACAGGCAGGTGACCACCATATGAAGGAACTGCATATTGGCCCTTGGGGACCCTGCGAGCTCTTTGAGCTTCACCTTCAGAGAAGTCGGAGGGATTAAGGGCTACGAGGAGGGGAATGACACCTGGTTGGGTGTTTTAGAAAGTGCCCAGTGTTTTCCCTGTGCCGGCCTGGGTCTGCAAGCGCTACTGTACAACCCAAGGGCAGAGAGGATAGCCAGCGAGTGGGCAGGTGGGGAGTACTGGGAGGCTGGGCTGCACTGGGCTGGGAGTTAGGGACAGGAAGCTCCCTACCCCCAGGCTTGGGTGAGCGGGCGGGTATTGAGCCCCCTCTTTCCACCTGCAGAGCTGCTCCAGAAAGGCTCCACCTGCATCACCAACACGGAAGGATGGGTGGGCCACCCCCTGGACCCCATTGGCTGCCTCTGCAGGGCACTCCTGGAGGCCTGTCGCCTGGAGGAGGAGGCCCTCATCCTTTACCCAGGTACCCACATTGGAGACCCCTGAAGGAACTGGGACAATCCCCACCAGTGTGGGGAGCCAGTAGGCTTAGCTTCTCCTGAAAGTGAGGCCACCATAGGCCTAGCTGCTGCTAGCAGGGGCCCCACCCACTATGAGTGATGGGAGCTTATGGGCTCTGGTAAACCCCACCCTGCCCCCAGTCTCCACGCTTGGGGCCAGGGGCTAGGGGGTTCCCTGGGAAGGGGGTCTGCCTTCAGTAGCCTTGGTCCTGTCTCCCCCAGACTCAAGCCCCGAGAAGCGGAAGGTGGCCTACCAGCACGTGCCTGTGCCTGGTAGTCCTGGGGAGTCCTACCTGGCGCTGGCGCTGGAGGTGGCACTGCTGGGGCTGGGGCAGCAGCGGGCCCTGCCGGAGGGGCTGTACGCCCAGGACAAGGTAGTGCGCAACGAGGAGCAGCTGCTGGCCCTGCTGGAGGAGGTGGATTTGGACGAGCGGTTGGTGCAGGTGCTGCGCAAGCAAGCGGGGCTGCTGTTGGAAGGTGAGCTATTCCCGAAAGGGAGGGTCCCTGCCCCCTGTCCTATAGTGGCCTGGTCGCTGCTGGATAGAGAGGCCCCGCCCCTAGTCCCGCCTCCTGGGCCTTACTGGCCACTCATACCTTTGCAATTCCTAAAAGGTACGATCCATCTGTTGGTCCCGCCCCCTAGCACGTGCTGGCAGCCAATAACTGCGGCTAGTGGTGAGGCTCTGCCCCCTACTCTCCTTGGAGCCAATGAGCCTAGTCGATGATGCTGGACTGGGAGACCACTCCACCCAATCCACACAAAGGCACCGCGCCTGACTCGGCCAAGGCCTCATTGACTCCGCCCATGGTCTCGCCCTATTGGCCTGTGTGCAGTGAGGCCCCGCCCCCTCCAGGCTCTCCTCTATGCTATTGGGCCTTGCTGGTCTTGGGCCATTGGTCCTGCCCCGGGGCGTGTGCAAACCCATCTCCACTCTCCGGCCCCACCGCACATCTGAGTCCTACCCACGCGGGGTCCCCTGTTTTCTTTGGGTTACCCAGCGCTTGTCCCAGTCTCAGTTCTGAGCTCCTACCTCAGGACCTCTCTGTCCCCAGCCACTCTATCCCAGAGCCAGCCCATCCTCAACTTGGAGCCTGGGGTCTTGGGAGACCTGGGGAGGGGCGGAGGTGAGCCCACACCTACAGGCTGAGTTCGGGCTGTCCCTGCAGGGGGTCCCTTCAGCGGCTTTGGAGAGGTGCTGTTCCGGGAGAGCGTGCCCATGCACACCTGTGCCCGCTACCTGTTTACCGCGCTGCTGCCCCATGACCCCGACCTGGCCTATCGCCTCGCGCTCCGAGCCATGAGGTAAGGACAGGCGGCTGGGGACACGGACAAGGTGGGTGATAACGGCAGGAGGGGGATTGGAGGGTGGCTTGGAGCCCCACCCTCCAGCCTGTCCTCAGAGCCTGGTTAATTCAGTCTCCCTTACCCTGACAGTCAATGCTGCCACGTGCTTTTCATTGTTAAATAGAAATGTGTAATATTATTTTAAATTCAGGAAATTGGCAGAAGGTACACAAAGTCAAATCCTTTTCTAGGCAGATTTGTCTCAGCCTACCCAAATCTCTCTGGAGGCAAGCAATGTTTTGTTTTTTGGTTTTTATTTATTTTTTAAAGATGACCGGGTAAGGGGATCTTAACCCTTGACTTGGTGTTGTCAGCACCACGCTCTCCCAAGTGAGCCACGGGCCGGCCCTGAGACAAGCAATGTTACCACGTTCTTATCTACCCCGCAAGAGTCCAGATTTCTGCAAACCCGTAATCTGGAAATTGAAAGCTGGTTCTCCTTTTACACCAGTGGCACATCCTATACCTGTTCTTTGTGCCTTGTTTTCACTGACGATTACATCTTAGAGGCTCTGTCGTTTTACATACTATGTGACTCACTGCGTAGTATTCCACTAGAGGGATGCCCCATAAAAGAACCAGTCTGGAGTCAGTAGACATTTATGCTATATTTCAAAAAAACATGGCAATGAATAACATTATCATTTCTCACATGTACTAGCAGATCACAGAAGCAGAATATTTAAAAGTCCTCTCTATAGTAAACTATGCCCAACCAATAAAATGAAACCTGTCCCCTATCCTCTGATCCCATCCTTCAGAGATACCTATTAACAATTTGGGCCAAAGTCAAGGGTTCGGATCCACCTACTGGCCAACCACCAAAACAAACAATTTGGGACGTGTCTTTCCAGAATATTTGAAAAGAATAACATGCAAGAGCCATGATTTATTTATTTGTTTTTTGGCAGCTGGCCAGTATGGGGATCCGAACCCTTATCCTTGGTGTTTTATCACCAATCTGTAACCAGCTGAGCTAAGTGGCCAGACCAGAGCCATGATTTTTTTTTTTTTTCTTATTGTATGTATTGCTGGCTGGTATGAGGATCCAATCAGAGCCATGATTTAGAAAACAGCCTTTATAAGCAAGACTTTTTTCTAAGCCAATGGTCAGGAAACTACAGCCCATAGACCATGTTTGGCCCGCCACCTGTTTATGTACAGCCCATGAGATAAGAATGGCTTTTACTTTTTTTTTTGGCAGCTGGCCAGTAACAGTGGTCGAATCCTGGACCTTGATGTTATCAACATCACGCTGAGCTCACCAGCCAGTGCAACATTTTCAAATGGTTAAAAAAAAATCACAAGGATATTTTGTGACACATGAAAAGTATATGAAATTCTTGGGCCGGCCCGTGGCTCACTCGGGAGAGTGTGGTGCTGCCAACACCAAGGCCGTGGGTTCGGATCCCATATAGGGATGGCCGGTTGGCTCATTGGGTGAGCGTGGTGCTGACACCACCAAATCAAGGGTTAAGATCCCCTTACCAGTCATCTTTTAAAAAAAAAAAAAGAAAGAAAAGTATACGAAATTCAAATTTCAGTGTCCAGACAGTTTTACTGGCACATAGCCACATTCTTTTCATATGTGTATTGTCTGTGGCTTCTTTTGTACGACAGTGGTAAAATTCAATCATTGCATCAGAGACCGAATCGCCTGCAAAGCCAAAAATATTGGCTATTCAGCCCTTTGCAGAAAAAGATGTTGACCCCTAGTCTAAGTTTATGACTCATAGTACCCCATAAAATCTTCAAGACAACCCAGCAAAATAAGTATGTGTATTCCGTACACATAAAGAAACAGGCTTAAGGGCCGACCCCGTGGCGCACTCGGCTGACACCACCAAATCAAGGGTTAAGATCCCCTTACCAGTCATCTTTTAAAAAAAAAAAAAAGAAAGAAAAGTATACGAAATTCAAATTTCAGTGTCCAGACAGTTTTACTGGCACATAGCCACATTCATTTCATATGTGTATTGTCTGTGGCTTCTTTTGTACGACAGTGGTAAAATTCAATCATTGCATCAGAGACCGAATAGCCTGCAAAGCCAAAAATATTGGCTATTCAGCCCTTTGCAGAAAAAGATGTTGACCCCTAGTCTAAGTTTATGACTCATAGTACCCCATAAAATCTTCAAGACAACCCAGCAAAATAAGTATGTGTACTCCGTACACATAAAGAAACAGGCTTAAGGGCCGACCCCGTGGTGCACTCGGGAGAGTGCGGCGCTGGGAGCACAGCGGCGCTCCCGCCACGGGTTCGGATCCTATATAGGGATGGCCGGTTAGCTCACTTGGGGGAGCGTGGTGCTGACAACACCAAGTCAAGGGTTAAGATCCCCTTACTGGTCATCTTTTTAATTAAAAA